AGTTGTTAAAGGAGATGAAATGGTGATCGGAGATGGCTTTGTCTGTGATTGTGATATCTGAGACCCTGAGGCCCCAGGTAATCACCAGATAAGTGTGATATCACCACACCGCCTATCACCAGTGTGAGAAGGTGCAATATCAAGTGCAAGGTTTATTATTAGCAGTAGATACTAACCTGTTCACTATGTAGCTGTCAATGTATCTGAAATGTGTCTTGTTGAATGAAATGCCCTTCCTGTCAAACTAGTGACAACATGTCTATTGTCTATATACCTTCTTCATGACAGTGATAATGTGTCTGTACACTTCTCATGTGTTGTGTGTAATATTCTGAATCTAGTGTCAATCTATTGGAACCATGTAAACATGGATGACCTGTGGATGTAAAGTAAACTATGAAAATAACAAATGTTCATCAATTCCAAGATATGAACAAGGAATCAGGCAATGTCTTACACAGGAGTCATCTCAGCATTTCACAAGAATTACATTCAATGCTATACGAAGGGGCAGGTTAGGTTAGCTGTTTCCAATAAATCAGTAACCCAAGTGATACTTTTCACTTGCTGTGAACAAAATTGTTAGTGTTAAGAGTCAATTTCAGGATCAATTGAGCGGGGCAAAACCTTGGGCAAGTTTCCTTATTCCACACACACACACTCGCCTCCGTTTACCTAGCAGTAAGTAGGAATCTGCTTGTTAATTGATTGCTGTGTTCCTTTTCCGGGGGTTAATAACCCCTTCACAAAAATAATAATAATAATTTGGTCACTCAATCCACGACTGTTTGTGGAAAACCTCTGTGTGCGCAATTGGCTGCTTTGCATTTGTGATACACTTCTATTTTTGCTCTTTAGCTTTACCAGTTTAATATCCAACATTACCACTGGGTCTGTAACACACTTATAGGTTTGAGTTATATTAAAGTCATTCATATAGTATTTGGCATATTCACAAACATACCATTGGAATGTGTTTATACAATAGGTTGGACAGGTTTAAATAATAATAATGCAATAGTACTTCTTTAGTTAGCCTGCATAGACCAGATGTCACTGTCAAAACCACTTAAACCAGTTTGCTGTTTAAACATTTTGAAACAGCTGTGACCTTATTTTTCAAAAACGGGTGTGATAGGAGTTCAGTTTATTGAAATTCATCAGGCACTTTATATCAATAAATGGGCATTCCCTCTTCAACGGTATACGGAATTTCTTGCAGAATACTTTGATCGCCAACTGAAATCTTTCTCAGCTTCTTTCTGGGTTTAACTAAACTGAAACCTTCAGATGGTTATCTTGTAATTCTCATTCCTGAGTTATGAGGCACTCAGTGCTGATACGTAACCTTGTCTTGTGTTTGATTGCAAATGTGAGGCTAGTAGTTTTATTGAAATCGTGTCAGGAGCGGAGACAAACCGGAGATAGTAAATGAAAACATCCCGGAGGTATTTCTACACACCGGGTGTTGAAGACAAGAATAAGGAGGAAACACAATTTATCATAATAACAGGAGAATGTAAGGATGTGATAGAGAGAAATCCTCCAAACAACTCAAAAAAAACACATTTAGGAAAATGTATAATACCAGTACCTGATATATATTAATAATACTAATAATCCTTGCATTTGATATAGTGCCTTATGACGTCTTTGAAATGTGTCAAAGCACTTCACAGAATACACTGTAAAATGAATTGACGTATATTTTGTGAACGAAATGCTGCAGCCAATTGCGCACAGTAGTGTCCCATAGAAGAGGATCGAGTGACCAATTTATTATTATTTTTAAGTAACTATTACCCCCAGAAAAGCGATCTGCCAATCGACTAACAACCGGGTGTCTTACTGCTAGGTAAATAGAGGTGTGTGGCGTAAGGAAACTTGCGTTACCCAGAAATTGAACCCCGATCCTCTTGCTTGCGAGGAGAGTGCTCTAACCAATACAGGACTCCACATTAGAAAGAACAACAACAAAAAATTAACAACAGAGACACAAAGCAGGAATTGAACCTCAGTATCAGCGCAGTTAGTAGCACTCTCACCTATAATAATAATAATAATCCTTGCATTTGGTATAGCGCTTTTCACGTCGGGAGGACGTCCCAAAGCGCTTCACAGAACACACTGTCTAGTGAATTGACTGTATATTTGTGGGCGAACGCGGCAGCCAATTGCGCACAGCAATGTCCCACAAACAGTCGTAGATTGAAAATGACCAATTTTTATTATTGTTTTTGGTTTTGGAGGGATTATTATTATGATTATTATGAACCATAAGGGCATGGATACAAATTCCACATTGGATTTCCAGCTTTAAGTCTTTATCAAACTGAGGGGAAGCTAAATTACAAATCGGTGACTCAACAACTTACACTTATATATATAAGAAAAAAATCGGTTTAGCCTTACACACACATACATACATACATACATAAATACATACATAATGGGAAATCCAGTGGAGACCTGTAGCTCAGTGGTTAGAGCACTCGCTTTGCAAGCGAGAGACCTGGGTTTGATTCCTGGCAGGGCGAAACCTTGGGCAAGGTTTTTTACTCCACATGCCCAATAATATTCCTTCAAAAAAAAAATTGGTCACTTCAATCCATGAATGTTTGTGGGACACTGCTGTGTGAAATTGGCTGCCACATTTCACCCACATAATGCAGTCAATTCACTCTGCAGTCTATTCTGCGAAGCGCTTTGAGGCGTCTCGAAGACATGAAAAGCGCTATATCAAATGCAAGGATTATTATTATTATTATCCTAATGGGATGTCAGTCAGTAAATGGGATTTCCCATTATAATTGTGATATTTCCCATTGTAACTGCCTTCTGCAATGGGCTCTCAATTAAGAAATAACATCAAGAAGCATAGCAAAATACTTTTACTGCACACAACAATATGCTATCAAGGTGATGGTGCTTTGAATGGTATTAAACTTCTGGAGTTTGTCAGCTCATGGACTTTTTAAGGGACTATTGGCAAGTGGAGGTGGAATCAATGATTAAAGTGCTGCTTAACCTTCCTTCGGAAAGTGGATTTGGCAGCTATGCTCCAACGTGTTTCTTCTCCCTAATTGTTTTGTGCGCCAATTTTCCACAAAGAGAGCAGTATTAAGACATCAAAAATGATTTATCTTCTGTGGATTTCCAGCATTTTCAGCTGTTATTACAATAATCTAATTTGACAATTTATATCAAAAATGGCCCTTGTCTTTCATAATCTGATTGACAAAAGAATATAAATAATCCAGACAAACACAATGGGGGTGGGGGGGGGTGGGGGGGGGGTGGGGGGCAGCCCTGATAGTGTGATGTATACAGCTGTAATTTATGGAACAGGAGCCCACTTCCTGGTTTGAACCCTGGTCTGTGCTGAGCTTGTTGGTCTCAGCCAGGACTGTGTGAGAAGGCTGCATTGGGCCTGACTTTGCTAATTAATCCTTATTTTTTTTGGAGGGTCCTGTCTGCTTATTCAGGTGTTTGTTAATGATCAGAGAACAATATTCAACACAACATGTTTTTACATTTATACAATGCCTTTCACGTCGGGACAACGTCCCACTGCACTGGCTGGTCACCCAATTAGGGAGCCATGGATGGGGTGGGAGTGGGGGGGGGGAGATTTTTGGAAAAGACTATGCCAGGATTAGGGAAGGGGGTATCAGCCAGTGTTCTAGCTCCTGTGTCTGTGTGTTTGTGTGTGTGGAACAGCCAGCAGGGAGACATCAGGCTCTGCTATAACACCTTTACATAACTACATAAGAATTGCTCGACAAAAGAAGATCAAGGTCGATCCAGTTCGCCTTCCACCATCCTGGCGATATCATTGTAGTTGACAGAGCTGCCAACACTTATAGTCAAGACTCACACATACACTGTGGAACTGCAGCCTAGCTAGAGGAGGCTAGAGCAGAAACAGATATGACCATAAGATCGAACATCAGAAAAAAATGGACACATTAATTTCTTTTGAATAAACACAAAGTTCTCTTTTACTCAAAGAATCTTTATTTCGTAAATCCCAACAAAATCCACCGAATCAAGGCCCCCAAAAATATATTTTTTTCTTGCATAAATATTCTACAATTTAGATTTAATGTCTATTTATGATTGTCATTTCTCAATAATCTAAATATTAATATATTCAAATAAAACTTTTGCAATCCTGCTTTCACAGCAGTCTCATTTGGCACTATGTGGAAACACTGGCAGGTTCCAGAATACACAGGCTCAAGCAAAATATCACTTGTAAAAAAAAAAAATCCACTTAACAGGTACTAAAGGCACAAAATTACACCTAGTCTTAGCCAGTAAGACTATTTGGTCTTAAAATTTAAGACGTGCAGAATGTTGAAAATTCTTAAATTCTGTTAATTTGGAATGCATTTTTTTAAAATTGGAAGTCATTTTTAATCTGCTGCTTGATATACTACAATTTACATTTAAGGGTTAAAAGGACAAATTTGCCAATTTAGTTTTGCGTACCACATGTCAACCAAAAGGCATTAGTGAGGAATTGAGTAAACCATCCGTTATCTGCAGGATAACTGTCTGCTTGTCTGTGAATCTCCATCAGGAACTGTGCACAAGCACATAACTAGTCATTTTTGCCAGCAGTTCAAAGTCAGTGTTTATACTTTTGCAGTGAACGGTTAAAATCAGAGAAATACAGGAAGTCAGACATAGAGAAAGTCATAGAAACAGGTCTGAAAATGTTGGATAGAGAGCTTCAGAGATAATAATAATCCTTCCATTTGATATTGTGCCTTATCATGCCTCCGAAACATCTCAAAGCGCTTCACAGAATATGCTGCAAAGTGAATTGACTGTATATTTTGTGGGTGAAACACAGCAGCCAATTGCGCACAGCAGTGTCCCACAAACAGTCATGGATTGAGTGACCCAATTATTTTTTTTGAAGGAATTATTATCCCCGGAAAAGCGATCCGTCAATCGGATCAGGTTCCTACTTACTGCTGGGTAAACAAAGGCGTGTGGAGTAAGGAAACTTGCCTAACGTTTCGCCCTGCCGGGAATCGAACCTCAGTCTACTCGCTTGTGAGTGCTCTCAACGCTGAGCTACAGGACTCCACAATAGAGAGAAAGTCAGAAATAGAGAACATGGCAGAGAGAGGGAAACTTTGGCACAGTGTAGTACCACAGTAACAGCATAACTCTTAATGGAATTTTCTTAAGTTAATAGTTAGCGTGTTGTAGTTTGTGTGTTGACCCATTATTTGGACTGTTTGCTGACAGTTCCTAAGAGGTGCTGATAATTGTCTCTCTATTGAACAGTGACTCAGTACAGTGAATCCATGGAAAGAGATACGTAGTTAGCCGGAAAAATTCCAATTTTTCCTCGTAATGTTCCTTCCCACCAGTCAAACTGCGAGTCAGTCTGAGATGTCACAGTGATTCTGTCGGCAGCTTTGAAGTCCAGGTCACATGGTGCTTGTCCTTCGAATGAGTGTAAAGCTGTCACAACCAAAGGGTTGTCCCACGAGTTTCCTGTAAGACAGAGAACAGGCGTGATTCAAAATACAGGAACACAAAATACTGAGCAAAAGCCTCTTTTGCATTGAGCTCACTGCATCCACAGACCATGTACACCTGCCTACATCTACCCTCCCTACCCTCCATCCCTCCTGATCTCAATTTCCGGCACTTTACTGAATCTCCTGGGGGATGATGATGAACAATTACAGGGGACCACATTTTCCGAGATTCTGAAGTAATCTCTTGTGCTATAAATTGGACCACCCAAGAACTCTCAAAGGATCAGATGGGAATGAAGCTGGAATCATTTTGTACTTTTGTGTTTATATATATATTGGTACTTCGTAAATCCTACTCAAGATGGTCTCAGTGGCAGCATATCATGTCATTTTCATGGCCTTGCTTCTCCCTACCTCTGTGACCTATTAATTCCATTCCGACTTGTCCGCTCCCTCGCTCAGTGTACTCTGGGCTGATCCATGTCCCCCGACCTGCCCCCTCTACCATCAGCGGTTGGGCTTCAGTCTCTCTGAAATACTCTTCAAAAAATTCTTTGAAATATCCACAACCCCTTCACCTTATTCAGTCCCTTTACCTCCTTCGTGGCCCGTCTCAAGACCATGCCTTTGGACACCCATCTTCGACCACGCCTTTGGACACCCATCTACCCCTATCCTCCATCCTTCCTGATCTCAACCCCCAGCACGGGTGAAAATCTTTGATTGTCCAGTACCTTGGGACAATCTCCCAATGTGAAAGATGGTATACAAATGTAATTTGTTGTTGTTGTTAAGAAGAATGTTCTAATATAAACTGAAATTGGGCATGTAAACCACAGGGTAATTGCCCACAAACCACACAGTAATTGCAGCGCACTTTCAGCTGCATCGAGTGCTGAAGTCTTCAACATTCTCAACATTGTGTCATTTGATGTGATGCCCTTTGAATGAGACGTTAAAATGGGTCCCGTCTGCTTGTCCAGGTGGAGGTTAAAGTGAAGGGAGTTCCTCCTGGTGTCCTGGCCAGCAATCCAACAAATAAAATTGGTTATTCACTCCATGACTATTTGTGGGACATTTTTGTGTGCAACTGGCTGACGCATTTCATCCACAAAAAACAATTTATAGTAAATCCTGTGAAGTGCTTTGAGAAGTCTCAACGACATGAGAAGGCACCATATCAAATGCAAGGTTTATTCATATTTGGACTATTACCAGTCCTCATATAACCCACTGACATCCTACATGTATTATGCAGTGTAGCTCACTTGTATCACACAGGCTTGTGAATACTCTGCTCTAACCCAAGTACAGTGAAGATTACTCGGTGCAGTGTTTTTGTGACTTGGCGAAATGTACATAACATGATTTAGTCTGTCCTCCGAGACCCCATGTGGCAAGAAGGGCGCTATATAAGTAATAATAACTATCCTTGCATTTGATATAGCGCTTTTCACGTCTTCTCGACGTCTCAAAGTGTTTCACAGAATAGACTGTAAAGTGAATTGACTGTATATGTGTGGGCGAAACACAGCACAAACAGTCATGGATTGAAAATGATTGTTTTTGTATCATTTTGTATCATTGTTTTTGTTTTGGAGGGATTATTATCAGGCGTGTGGAGTAAGGAATGTTGCCTAAGGTTTTGCCCTGCCTGGAATTGAACCCACGTGTCTCGTTTGCAACCACTGAGCTACAGGACTCCACGCAGTTGTTGTTGTCTAGAGAAGGTCTTTTCTGGCACAAGGCACTATTGTATGCTGCAGTTTTCCTGTTTGAGCAATTCTATGAATCCAATAAACCATCAATGTCACATGAGAAGTGAAATACTTTGGAAATGGCAGACAAATGCATGCAATATCGTACATTTTGAACAATATTTAAGTTTCAAGTCATTTACATTTTGATAACATTAAGTGTTGCATTAACATAATGTTCTAAAGAGTGAGGAAAAACAAGACGAGGGAGAATTTTTTTTAATATAAAAAAGGGTGCAACATAACACCAGATAACACACGCAATGGACTAATTGGCCTTCTTATGTATATGAAAGTTGCAAACCCTTGACTATCAGGTACTTTGGGACATCCTCCTGACGTGAAAGGCGCTGTATAAATGGAATTCGTTGTCATTGTTTCTTTGGAGTAAAACCTGTTGCATACCAAAGTATACTTTAAACTGTTGCCCATTGATGGCAATATATGCTCCAGAATTATGGTGGTCTCTTGATTTACAGGTCCACGTGCTGTCATTTGTGTTTGAATCTGGGGCGGACAATGAGATAATTTTTCTTTTGCACATTTTATCTGTCATTCATCTGTCCAAGCTATTTCTGTGGACCAGTTTTCAGCAAGATGGAACTGTTGGCTTTTTATTGCAAATCGCTTTTGTAGGAAGAAATACTATTTGCTCATGATGACTTTTGTCATGCTGTCCACAGTGGAGTTGGCTGTTGCATCAAACCTACTTGAAAGACACAATATAAATAGGGTAACAGTCTAGTATTGTGAATGTGGCACCCTAGTATTTCAAAGAAATCCACTTTAGAGTACTGAATGCTTTTCGTCTTTTGATAGTGACATTAGGCCTTCTTCTTGGCTGCCTGCTAACTATATTGTGGATAAGACCTAACAATTATCCCAAGTAGAACCTATTATTAAAGGTACATGATCTCCTGTGGATAATAAAAGGCACCCAGTCTCAAATTGGTTGGGAAAACTTACTGCAATGCCCAAAACCAAAGTTATAAAACACAAATAGAAATAGCATTTCCTGTGTGACCCCTAATTTATTTAATGTTAAGTTTGTTGTTCTTTCATCAAGTTCTATATCATAATAACAAATAATCGTTACATATATCATCGTGACTGCATCAAAACGTCTCATAACTCTTGACAGTCATTACTGTTAAATGTTAAAGTGTGCTTATAAATACAGTCAGAAATACATAAATACACCCAGAAATACAATCATTTATGTTAAATTGTGTGACTGAATTTATGGGTGTATGTGGCAGCCAATGAGAGTATAGAAATGTTCCACAGACAGACAGGAGTTGAATGCCCAATTTATTTTGTAGGAACCAACTTATGTCACAAGGCGATTTAAGAATGCAGAGAACATTAATATAGTACCTTAGACACTATCTATCAAGAAACGACAACAGCTTAAGAAACTCAATTAAAAATGTCTGACCTCAGAGCAAAATGAGACAAAAGTCCAGATTAATAGTAGATTTAGAAATTTAAGGCTCACAGAGAATTCAGACTTGACATAAACTTGGGCTAACCTCAATGTGATAGAGCTTAGGACCCGCAATCTATTATGCTACATTAAGCAAAAGGAACACCCCCATCTGCACTATGCCAGGGAATTGAGAATAGGAAGTTGGATTGAGGGATAAGGCCATCAGGTCAAGTCCTTCAATCAAACCAAATGTACTTAATTCCTAACTGGACAGCATAGTAAGTCCTGCCTTGCAGTTTGGCAATTCATAATCATAATGACCATTTATATTCTTTGCTTTGATGCAGGGCCTTGTCATGCCAAAATGTCTCAACGAGTTTCCCCGGGTTTTCTGTAAAGTGTAGTGACAATGCAGCCATCTGGAGGCAAATATGGCAGCCGATTTGTACATAGTTATGTGCTACGAACAGCCATGAAGTGAATGACTATTTTTATCTGGGGGATTGATGTCCAGGACCTTGGGGGAGACTCCATTCCCTTTTCGAAGAGTGCCATGGGATCCTTAACGTACACCTGAACAAACACAAATGAGACCTCCAACGATGGAACCCTCCCCCAGCATTGAATTGGAGTGTGAGATGCGAGCTCCAAACCCACAGCCGTCTGACTCAAGAGTGCTACCAACTGAGCCAGCCCGACACCGATGGAGACAGATTACTGGATTAATGCCATTTAAATGTAAAATCAATATACAGGGGTACAGTCACACAATAGCTACAGTTGGGAGCTAGCACAGGATAGGCTTAATGGGCTTCAGGCCACTGCTTTTGGAGAAAAAACAATATTCAACGAACTACCTTTTAAACAAATTGTCAATGACACACGATGTCAGGTATAACAATGTCTATTGAGAATATCGGGACTATACCATACTGTAATGCAAAATAGAATACAATGAACCCTTTAGAGTCCTATAGCATATTGGTTAGAGCACTCGCATCGCAAGCGCAAGGACCCAGGTTCCATTCTTGGGCAGGGTGAAACCTTAGGCAAGTTTCCTTACTCCATATGCCTGCTTATCTAGCAGTAAGTAGAACCTGGTTGTTAGCGAAACAAAATGTGATCACTCAATCCACAACTGTTTGTGCGACACTGTTGTGCATAATTGGATGCCACTTTTCACCCACAAAATATGCAGTCAATTCACTTTTTAGTATATTCAGCGAAACGCTTTGAAAAGTCTCACCGATGTGATAAGGCGCTATATCAAATACAAGGATTATTATTTATTATGAATGCTTCCATAAAGGCATTTTGGACTACAGCTGTAGTCTATCATTGCTCATTGAAATTTACTAGGAACTTCAAGCAGACACCAGTGTACGCTGTGTTAATTAAACGTACACAAAAGCACAATTCCAACATCGCTTCATGAAACAACCACTCGATGGCAGCACAACCACTATGAAGATCATCAACAAAATTCATTTGGAATTAAATGCTCCTCAGAGACTGGTTTTATGACGTAGAATTTATAATTTTGTCAAGTTTCAAATGTCTCTGAAATTGATATTTTTTTTCCTGAGGCTGCAACCGCACGTAGTTTGCTGGATTCAAAGCTGATTAAATCACATTAATACACCACCCCCACAGAACCAGATCGAAATGAATTGGCACATTTGTCTCCTGATGTCCACCCACAAATTCAGCTTTTCAGAAGGCTGGAGCAATTAATATTTGCTCTGTTGGGTGAATGTAATGCGCTGACAGATGGAGTTAGTTAAAAACTTTACCAATTTATATTCGTGAAACTTTCTTGTTCTTTAC